AATTTCAACGTTATCTGCTCCCCGCATGTGAAAGCGAGCCCTGTACGGTATCGGAACACCCACCACATCGGGAACTCCTAAAAGGCGTCGTTCTACAGATTTTGCACCATCAGATTTCAGCAGCAGGTTGTTGTCCGGAAAACGTTGTAAGGGGTGTTTCGGGATAGGCGCTACATGTCGGCGATGCTGAATAAATCGCTCTGTTCCCTTCATACCGCTGCTAAAAATTGTTGCGTTTTTGATTTTCCCTTTGTATAATTTTCATGGGGATTACTGCACAGCAACATAATGTATGTGTTGCAGGTGGCTGGTAAGGCAGACCAAGCAGTGCAGCTCGTTTCAGGAGCTTTGCGGACCGCTCAGGAGACTGGTGTTGTGGAAGTTCGGCGAGCCGTGCAAGGCCGAGCTTTGGCCGAGAGTGCCCTCAATGATAAAAGCCTGCTGGCTCTGCTCTATTTCCCGAACGACCAGAAGTTCGCCATCTACCTCCCTCTGTTCTTGCCCACTTTGCTGCCAATGTTCACTTCCATTCTGGCATTGTACAAGTACGTGCTCGGCAAGGAGTAGGCTTTGCTACCCTGTGAGCTCGTTGCTTAAGGCATTGTATGGCTTTCTTGTTCAGGGCGTACAAAAATAAATAATTGTACATGTGCAGCACCTCCCGTCACAACACCGAAAAGCAGCGAGACAGCTGTACACAACTGGCCTACTGGAGAGGATCAGGCATCCGTCGTGCCCTGTGGATAGGAGGAAAAGTGCGGAGCGCTAAGTCAAAGGTTAGCGTTCGGCCGAAGATGCGCAAAGAAGAAGGAAGGCACGGAGGACATAGCACTTCGTCGAATTTGAGCACTCACTAAGGCGTGCGACTAAAAAATTCAGCAAACGAACAGTAAAGTCCCAGAAGACGAACGGGACTGAAAGATACGAAGCGATGGAACTGGGACTGGCTGTTTTCGTTCACAGAGCTGCATGGATCCTATCCGAGAACTCATCGCCAGGACGCTTCCAAACCTGGAGAGACGCATCGGAGCATATGTAAACAGCCCTCCAGGGGGCACTAGTGGGGAGAGGATGGTAGGACCCCACCCGTGCTGCATCATGGTGAAATAGTAGGGACACACGCCCTCGACTGCAGGTCGCCGAGCCGAGCCGAGATTCGGTTATTGCCTTATCGCCGACGAAACAACGGCAATCTGCAAATTTTTCGTGACGCGCTCTGACACTCTGGCACTTAGGTAGCGGAAACGACCATGCAGCATGCAGAGCGGTAATGTGAGAGCGTGCCAGGAATACTCGCCGCTCTACAAAAACAACACCTTAAATCCGTAATATGGGCGATGGATGTGCACCCGTACCGCACATCCACCCACGAACCGATAATGAGGAGCAGGTGGGCTCGTTCACGCAGTTCAGTTCGGCCTCGAGTTGCGAAAATCGTGGAGCCGAGTTTGCTGTTGAGGCGGAGTGTCGCATTCAAGTTTACTAACTACCCCTCAGCAAGAAGGTTCATGCTAAGCGTGGAAAACTCACACGGGCATCCTTCTCCATAAATCCCGTCGTTGCTTTCGGTTTTTACCTCCAGGAGAAATTTCAGCACCTCTGTAGTCAATAACTCCACCTCTCTCCTTCGATAGCTGTGTTCCCCCCACAAGGCCGAAAACACCACTTCTGGCCCTCACGCCTCCAGCCCTCCTGCCCTCGCCTCTCTAGACACTGCAACTCACCCCTGCACCCGGTCAACCCGGGCGGGGCTACCCAAGCTGCTGAGGGAAGAGCAAGCGCACATGTTTGCTCTCATTTCGCGCGACATGAGACTAGTGCAACAGGGGAGTCGTTAGCTGATCCCCGATTTGCGGTCGCTGTAGCCGGGCCCTTGTGCTGGGGCGCGGGGCAGGGACGGGAGCAGCCTCTC